ACCACACTCCCTCCACACTTCCCATACACCACACTCCCTCCACACCTTCCATACAGCCATACAACAACACCCCCTAATTCTCCACACATCCCAACACGCCACATCCCCTCCACATCGACACACCCTGCACCCCCCCACTCATCACGTTCAAGGCTGGCAGCACCAAGAAAAAGATTCACCACGTAAGGCTTCCTTCCTCCACACACCTTCATAAAATAACCCAGGCTGGGCCGCACAGGGTAATATATCAACAAGATGCCACTGATGGGCTCCAGCCTCACCGCCGTTTTCCTCGTAGTTAATCAGACTGGAGAGTTTTCTGAGTGTGTGTGCTCCAGATTTGGGCCAAAGCAACCTGATTTATATGCTGAATTTGGGCGAGGTAATAAGGCCATCTGCTCCATCCGCTGTCAAAGTTAGGATCATATTGCTCTGTGGATAACCACTTGCATATCTCCCCTGCTGGGCCAATATGTAAATACGTGTAAGAGTGAAGTGACTATCCCGGCAAATTATATGGTATAAGGTTGAAGTTCAAATAGTGAAAGAATACCCAGAAGGTTGTTGTTTAAGCACAATGGATAATATCAATTACGAGTCTAAAGAATCAGAGAAGACTATCATTACAATAAACTCATTAAAACTTGTATCTCTGTTTAGCAGGTTATTATAGTACACTGTTCATTGACTACTGCTACTATTGTTATCGTTCTTACCAGGCAACACAGAGCACCTCCACCAGCTGTGTTACCTATACCTAGTTCTGATGTCAGGTGAACCAGCCCTCACCTCCCTCCCCCACTCTATAACGAACCAGCCCTCACCTCCCCCCCTATACTATGATGGACCAGCCCTCACCTCCCTCCCCCACTCTACTAACATGGACCAGCCCTCACCTCCCTCCCCCACTCTACTAACATGAACCAGCCCTCACCTCCCTCCCCCACTCTACTAACATGGACCAGCCTCACCTCCTCCCACTCTACTAACATGGACCAGCAACATGGACCAGCCTCCCCCTCCCACTCCTACTAACATGGACCAGCCCTCACCTCCCTCCCCCACTCTACTAACATGGACCAGCCCTCACCTCCCTCCCCACTCTACTAACATGGACCAGCCCTCACCTCCTCCCCCACTACTAACATGGACTAGCCTCACCTCCCTCCCCCACTCTACTAACATGGACCAGCCTTATTGTTAACTGTTCACCGGAATATTAATAACGACTTCATTCATGGGAAGTGAAAGAGAACCAAGATAATAACCCAAAACAATAAAAAAAAAAAAAATAACAAAGGAAAACATTCTTATCTGGATGATGGCGGAAGAGAGTAATGAATAGTGTTATTATTAGAGACCAATAATAATAAAGAAGGTTGGTGACACAATAGAGGGTTGGTAATAAAGGCTAACATAAAACAACACTGAGGGAGACAATAGAGAAACATTATGATTCTTTACTATTTATGTTACAGGCACTTTTACAGGGTCATAATCTGGGGCTTAAGGAAGTTGGCAAGAGACTGGGTTTTTTTTAACGGGTGTAATAATAATAATAATAATAATTAACGGTTTATTGAAAGAGCTTGGCAGCCAGAAGGCTGAAAATATACAGTTACATATTTGGGGAATGGGTTACGAATTACAAATAATATACAAGTGACATAAGTGACACAAATAAGACATATAGTAACTTAGATGGGGATCAGCTCAAAATACAGTTCATTTCAACATAGTGACAGTGTAGGGAGCAGTGTTTACTGGGAGTGAATACACTGATTTATTACATGTTATTGATAATTTTACAATGGTTGGGACTGGGCTGTTCTTATAGCGATCAGTTCGTGCACGTATGGGCTGGATGCGGTTGTGGTGTCGAACAGCAATTCTCGGACAGGGGATCTCAGGTAGTAGGGTCAGTCGATGTAGAAGCTTACCAAATTTGCAGATGAGGCCGTGGTGATGGTCAGTGAGAGTCGAAAGGGTCAGTGTGTTGAGCGCTTCTTGATATGTGGAGTAGGAAGGGGAGAGAATAATCTTGCATGCCCTCTTTTGCACTTTTTCTAGGTGTTTACGTTGTGTGGCATTTAGGGAGGAAGACCAGGTGGGGGAGGCATAGGTGAGCTTGGGAAGTATGAATGTTGTGTATACACTGAGGAGCTCGTGTGCAGGAACTCCGAGGGACTTGAGTCGGCGGAGGAGGTGGAGACGGAAACTGGAGGATTTGACAACTTCACTGACGTGTGGTTTCCAATTTAGTTTGTTGTCTATGGTGACGCCGAGGAGCTTCGTGGAATCTACAACCTGGAGTGTGTTCGGACCTAGGGTAATGGAAGGAGGTGGGACAATGTCGGAGGAGAGGTTGATGTGCATAACCATGGTCTTGGTATGGTTGATGGTGACATGGTTGTTGGTGGCCCAGTTTTGGAGACTGGTCAATAAATCCTGAAGGGCGGTATAGTTGGGAGCAGAATTGTTGACGTGTGTGTGTGTGTCATCATGCCTATGGACCTAAAAAATTTCCTGTCAACTTTACACCTACTGGAGATTGTGAATAAAGGCCGAAATAAAAATCCCCCTTGACGACGCCACGTAATGAAGCGAACGGCAACAAAAATCCCCACGGCGTGTAAAAAGATCCAGTGGGGGGAAAACCCGCAAAAAAAAAAAAGTCAAACCCTTACTTAAACCCTTCCTCGTGGGTACAAAGGTTCTTTTTTTTTATAAATTAGGTTGCCATCTTGTTCAATAGTTCAAGAGTTCATTGACAAATATGCCGAATGCTGGAGGTGTTATAGTTCGGACCTGCCACAGAGTCAAGAGTCGACACTGTTTATTGCATTTCGTGTTTTTTCTTCTTCAGTACTGCATAGACGAGTAATTAAGAAAGTTAGTTATTTATTTTTACTTTTTGCAACCCAAGAGATCGTTAACACTGTTCTCTCAACCAGAAGACCTCCTGCTCCGGTAATTAACATCCCTCCTCCTCCTCCTACCCTTCCCCCATCCCTGTTCGGCCACTCTCAAATCTCCAGCCTCGACCCGAATCGTCTCTCTCTCGTCCCTTCGACCACACAACTACCACACACCCCTCTGGGCAACACCATCTCCACCACACATAACATCGGCTACACCAGCACCACACCCCCCCAGGACACGCTACCATCACCACACCCTTCTAGGTCACACCACCACCACACCCCTCGGCCACACCACCACCCCGACTCCCCCTCGGCCAGTATCGAGACTCAGCTTTAAAGGTGTAACGTAGGTCATTACCGCCCACCCCACCTTCAGGGACCGCATCCGCCAGGCTAGGTAGGCTTTCTGGGTGGGGTAGGTCGGGGAGGAGCAAAATGGGCTTTTGGGGGGCAGGCAGAGCATGATGGACTTCCTGGGTAGAGCTAGGCATGATGGATAGGTGAGGCAAGCTGGGGCGTAGTAGGGCAGGATTGAGTAGTGCAGGTTTAAGGCGGAGTAAGGCAGGTTTGGGGTGGGGTAAGGCAGGTTTGGGGCGGAGTAGGGCAGAACAGAGGTGGGGTAAGGCAGGTTTGGGGCGGGGTAGGGCAGAACAGAGGTGGGGTAGGGCAGGTTTGGAGTGGGGTAAGGTAGGATGGAGCAGGAAGAAGAGCATCTCAATTAACTGACCTCCTATCTGGCGTAAATAATAAACATGGGCTCGCACTCTGTCAGTCTCACCACCACACTGATAACTTTAAACTTCATGTTCTTATGTAACATAATATCATCATGTCCATCACCAAAGGCACAAAACAATTATATAATACCAATATAAGGCAATGTTCTGAACGCGATGCAAACTCCTGTACACATTGAGTTCGACGATTTCCTAAATGAAGAAAGACTGAAAAGCTTAGGCTTACATTCATTAGAGAGGCGTAGAGTTAGGGGAGATATGATAGAGGTGTACAAGTGGGTAAGTGGGATTAACAAGGGTAAAATGGAAGATGTTCTGAAGCTCAGTATAACGAAATAACTAGAACAAATGGCTTTAAATTAGATAAATTCCGATTCAGAAAGGATATAGGCAAGCACTGGTTTGGTAATAGAGTTGTGGATATGTGGAATAGGCTACCGAGTGCTATAGTAGGATCGGGGACGCTAGGGAGCTTCAAGACGAAGTTGGATAGGCACATGGAAGTGCTGGGATGGGTGTCAAAGGGATCTGCCCTGTATGGGCCAGTCGGCCTCCTGCAGTATCCCACTTTCTTATGTTCTTATGTTCTAATACACCCGTACCACAACGTAACCACCACTATGAGCCACGCTACACATTGTTCATATAATAATGATACTTTAATATGGTTAAAACACTAAGAGGGATGTATGGCAATTTGCAATATCCATCGCCTGTTGTCTGATTGTTTCGGCCGTAAATGTACCCAGATACTTTTTGGATCGTGTGTACGTGTGATGATCAAGGTGCAAGGTCAGTCAGTTAGGAGGGCGTAACGTAAGTGTGTACATATGCACAGTCATGAGAGCTAAATTCACTTTACACGCCCGAGACTCCGAACTGTTAAACTGTTCGTCTACTCATATAATGCGCTACAGTGTGCCACCAGGGTAATGGCACAGTTCAGAAGAGGAGAATAAAGGCATTTATGTATGTGATGATAACTACACGGGTACTCATGTGGATTATGAATTAATAGATGGTACTCAGGTAAAGTCGAGTCACCGGGTGGGTACTCAAACTGAAGCTCAGTACTCGGGCAGATACTAAAAGGGTCGGTCTGTACTTTAAGCAGATCACATTATGATAGCTCGGTACTCAGAGAACATAACAAAGACAGAATTCAGAACCTAATCAATAGGCCAGAACTCTTAACAAATCATAAATTAATTGGCCAGTATCAACTTACCGACACAGCGGTAGGTTGATAATGTGGTAGATAACTAGTAGAAACCCACCCAAGCTGACAGTGAGTCACTAGGGCGAGTAACCAGGTGAAGAGGAGGGTATGGGTACTCACGCGTGAATCTGCCTTGAGCTGGCGGGTGTGAGGCACACTGCGCTTGGTGCGGGCGTGGGGCAGGGCATTGTGTACGAAGTGGTACTCGCCAGGAGACCCCGCCACCTGTAGGACAAAAGAGACATTAGTGATGCAATCTGAGGAACCAAACACAACGGGAAGATATATCTGCAATACTGTCCTAACACGTAGTAAAACAGCCTTAGGGTTACGGGCCACAACAGAGGTTCAAGAGTTACCATAAAACTACCTTAGGAACCTGTATGTGTGTGATAAGACGACGTGGATACTGTCTGTGGGTCTAAAATTCGGTGTCATACCATCTTAAAACAAGTAAACAAATGTAGGTGTATAAAGGATATAAATATCTCGCAAATTCGCCCAAATATTTAAAACACATGACACTTACTTTTAGCCCCAAAACAGAAAAAAAAGGTTCCGAAAAACATTATTATACCAGCTTTAAGCCTCTGCTACGACCACTTAAGAATAGGATATTAAGAATCCCACCCACAAAAGTCTGTTGGAAAAGTACTACACACACTGCCACTGGACTTGTGTTGGACCTTCATTATACAGTAAGTGAGTGAGATATGCAGACGCCTCGTGTTAGCTGCCGCCTTTATTGACAGGGGGTGAGGATCTGGGTCAAGGGTTTGTTTAGCACATGCCAGACTTAATTCTCCCTAGATATGACATAAACAAGTTCCTGGTAATGTTGCTGTATGGCCCTACCACCTCCATAACGTGAAGTGAGAGATGGTGAGGGGACGGAGACGAGGAGTGCTGAAGGTAGAGAGGGCGAGGGGAAGAAAGGGCGAGGGGAGGAGAGGGCGAGGGGAGGAGAGGGCGAGGGGAGGAGAGAGGGCGACGGGTGGTGAAGGGAGAGAGGGCGAGGGGAAGAGCGCGTGCGGTGGTGAGAGGAGGGAATGGTACCTAAATGTGAGGGAGGAATGGTGAGGAGAGGAGCTGGTAAGAGACGGTAGTTGTAGGTAGGGGATGGTGAGTAGGGAGAGAATGGTGAGGGGGAGAGAGGGGATAGTAAGGAGGAGGAGGAATGGGAATGTGAGGAGGAAGAGGATGGTGAGGTAGAGGGAGGGGATGGTGAGGTAGAGGGAGGGGATGGTGAGGTAGAGGGGAGGGATGGTGGGTAGAGGGAGGGGAGGGGAGGTGGATGGGAGGTGGGGAGGGAGGTGGAGGTAGAGGGAGGGGAGGAGGTAGAGGGAGGATAGGAGGGAGGGGATGTAGGGGAGGGATGAGGTAGAGGAGGGGATGGTGAGGTAGAGGGAGGGGGATGGTGAGGTAGAGGAGGGGATGGTGAGGGGGAGGGAGGAGATGGTGAGGTAGAGGGAGGGGATGGTGAGGTAGAGGGAGGGGATGGTGAGGGAGAGGGAAGGGCTGGTGAGGCGGAGGGAGGGTGTGTGTGTGTGTGGCTGGAGGCAGACTTGGTCGGAGAAGTAATTGTCTTCATATTTCTCTCCAGCACTCCAATATTACGCCATATTGTTTTGTCTCCCGCCCAGCCCAGCTCTCACACACAATAACCCCCCGCCGCCTGTATTGTTCCACCACACTGCTCCTTCGTATTGTTCCTTTCTGTTACCGTTCTCTATGCCTGTGTTCCGTAATCTTGACATGTTCCTCAGTATTGTCATTCTTAGTAACTGTGTTTCGTTGATCTGCTGTTTTTAGTGTTTCTGCTCCTTTGTGTTGCCATGTTCTTTGTGTTCCATAAACTTACGACATTATCGTGTTTTTCCTCCTTTGTGTTGCTCAACATTGCCCTTCTCAGTAACTGTTTTCTGCAATGTTGTCATTCTGTAGTGTTTCGCGATTCACGGTGTTTCCAATCTGTACACCTAGTGTTTACGTTGCTGTTTAATGCCATTTTGTAATATTATTGCTCTACAGTAAATTCTATAGTGTTCCTTAGTAATGGTGATGTATATTGTTGCTGTACCTTCACTGTCTATGGTACAGATATTTCCTAAGACTTTCGCTGGCACTTAAGTACAGCTGACTGGACATTGCTCTTGGCCACTACGCGAGCTCTTCTTCAGCGCCTTGAGCCGGGCTTGATGGGTCCCAGCATTAATCATAGGAGGTGTCAGGAAGACCCACTTCCCGCGACCCACCACTCAGGTGATCAAGTCACCTGATCCACCACCTGACGCCCACACACCCTCGCCCAGTCCTGAATTTACCCGTGGAGAAAATGAGGCCTTGATTTGAATTAAAAAAGAAAGAAAAAACAATAATTTGTCCTTTTATTATTTATGAACTCAACGTTGGGAACATTATAATAATAATTAGTTGGTGTTATATAAGACTTCCCGCCCACATAACCTGGCTTTTATTTTATCCAACTAACCGCTACTTTTCTTTTTATTTAGTCCTGGCCCGCTGAAAAAGACCATTAGTCTTATACACACACCCAGGTCCAAAAGGTTAGAGGTAAGGTGTGAGAGACAGCAGGAGCCTCGTATCAGGTGCCAATTACAAGGCAGGCAATGGGGACTGTGGTGCCATTATAGCCACCATCACTCCACAATACCATGGGGTTCCGAGAGGGTCTTAGGGGATCTTTGGAAGGATAAATAGTGGTGTAGCAAGAAAGGAGGCGGTCTTACTGCGACGCCTGGGCAGTGACGGGGCGGTCCGGTGAGTGTATGGGGATGACAAGGACGCTGTGAGGGTTCTAGTCGTATCATGGGGTAATTTATGGGGGTTCAAGAGACAGGATGCCTCTCTCTCCCATGCAAAGATGCCGTTTACAGCGTGTCTCTATGGCTTAAAAATCAGAGTGGTGTCAACTATGATCTTCTAACAGCTATATCACGCACGCACGCACACAAGGGAAATTACTGGACGCTTTTTACAGAGATGACTTCTCCATATCAGGGTGTAGGGGTGGAGGCAGCGGAGGCTAGGTGGAAATGAACAGAGTATTATCAGTTACAGCTTTATGTCCCGCTATGAGTCTGGTTGGAGAAGGATATTGAGGTGTAAGTGTGGTGGGTATGACTCACCCTCCCTTAGGTCATTCCTGGTCCAGGTCGTTGGCACTGGTTAAAGGTTCTCACTGGCCAAAGTCGTTGCTGAACAAGGTTATCGCTGGTTAAGGAAGGAGGGAGGAGAGATGTGTGCAGTGGAGCGAGGTGGGGCAGGAAATAGCCGGGCGAAGTATATTGGAGGAGGTTCTCTGTCCCGGGGCTTGCTAGGAGAAGGAGGGATGGGGGGGATCAGTGGCCGGCGGAACGGGGCTGGTCAGCGGGTGGCAAGAAAGACAAGCGTGGCGGAAAATACGGTGTGAAACGAGATAAAAATTAGAACATGGGTGACAAAGGCAGACGATAAAGAAATCTGAAGCCAGTGAATGGAGGTGGACGGAGGAAACAAAAAGAGAACGACAATGAAGAAGAACCAAAGAGAGAGAGAGAGAGAGAGAGAGAGAGGGAGAGAGAGAGAGAGAGAGAGAGAGAGAGAGAGAGAGAACTAAGAGCAACACAAGAGAACCGAGACGCATACTGAACAAGGTCGTGGGGGAATGGGAAGGGTCGTGGTGGGAGATAGGAAGGGTCGTAGAAGAGGCTAGGGGCAGGTCGTGTTGAAAGAAGGAACGGGTCGTTATAGGTGAAAGATCTTGAGTATGTGGAAGGCGTCACAAGTTGTAAAATACATTCATCTAATTTTCCTTTACAATTTTCATTTACAACATCTACCACACACGTCCTCCACCAACATCTACCACACACGTCCTCCACCAACATCTACCACACACGTCCTCCACCAACATCTACCACACACGTCCTCCACCAACATCTACCACAAACGTCCTCCACCAACATCTACCACACACGTCCTCCACCAACATCTACCACACACGTCCTCCACCAACATCTACACCAAAATCTGACCCAGAAATCGTAATCTGAATAAGCTTAATCGTCCACGAAAATCGAGCTGTAGTTTGTCCCCCGGTAATCCCACTCTGACAACACCATCGTGCCGTAGAAGCTGCCAAAACCAAACAACTCTAAGGAGGGGGGTCGTGTGTGTGTGTGTGTGTGTGTGTGTGTGTGTGTGTGTGTGTGCCTAAAATCAGTGACTTGTCCCTTGGTATAACACCTCGCACACTAATAATCTCGTAAACATCGTCCTTTTTTATCCGGAAATCGTCCCTCATTTCGTTTCTCAGAAAATTCCACAGCGACAATATTGTAAAAAAAAAATAAATAAATAAAAATTGAATTAAAAAAAGCGCGCTGTCATAAGGAGGGTGTCGAGGGCGGGAGAGCGGTGGCAGGTCTCCTCCGGGAGGTGGTGTGGGCGGACAGTAAGCACCAACGATGTCTTCGCTACACTACCAAACATTTTATAAGTTGGGATCCAAAATGTCATGAGAATGGAACACGTTAACCCTCAAGAGGTTAAGGAATTCTTACCAGCGTTAACCTTTAATATCCCAAACGCTTCTATTTCTCTCTCCATGACAATAATCTTGAAATACTACGATTTTCTCTAGCTATTATTTTAATTTTATTACCCAGATACCGCGACCTCCCCGCTATCACACGTATTGCACTTTTTTTTACACACCCAAACGTCCACAATACACCACTGACACTGTACCCTTGAGACACCCGAGGCGCCGTTACTATCGTTATCATGTACCGGGAAGTCGTCTCACTCTTCCCAAAGTTATATCTGTGGGCCTGGGGGGTTCCTGGCCACAGTTGTCACCCGAACATTTCACACACATTGCAGGAAGCGTTGGTGCCTGGGTGGTGGTGGTGCATGATATTGGCCAAAGGGGCGCCACCACGCTTATTGTGTTATCTACGTAAATTGTCAGAGACTCATATACTTCTGTTTCTCTCAGTGCACAATATTTCTGAGACGAGTACATGGAGGGAACCGGACTTGTGTGAGATAACTGAGGCAAGGCAAAACAAACATTGGATGTTACGGAAAGACTTCACTGAATATGTTTGTGTATATAAGCACAGTATGGATGGCATTCTATAAAGCGCCACTGCCACCCGAGACTATAAATGACACAATGAAAACAACTATGGCTGTTCATTGTATTTCTAACACCATCACACTCTGAAAATGCCAGAGAGAGAACAACTATGGCACGTTTCTAGTCTGGCATTCTCTTTTGTATAAATGAAAAAGATACGAATACAAATTTTTACAATAATACGAATTAAGTAGTAGGTAGTAGGCAGCTACCAAACAGGGAGGTACTACCGCCTGGGAAGATATTGGAAGCATAATGTGTTGTCTAATGGTGGACCCTGCTGCCATATGGCATCACGAAAATTGTGACCAAGTCCCAAGTTGCTGATCTGATTTTCTGCCTCATTTACATACAATTGCAGGGTCTCAATTGTTTCTCTTACTTTAACAACACAACATACATATATTGTTTCTCACTCTTGATCGTTTTTTTTTCATTTTTGCATTTCTTTATTATTATTATTATTATTATTATTATTATTATTATTATTATTATTATTATTATTATTATTATTATTATTATCATCATCATCACATTTTCGCCCCCCAGGCCCCGATGTGGGTCAGTGACTTGTGCCCGAGTGGGCTAATCCACGTTATCAAAAAAAAAAAAATGTGGTCAGTGTAACGACAAACACGTATATACTGGTATAGCTAAATGAAATTGTATTCGTTTGAGACAATTTTTTTTTTAGTCTGAGTTTGTCGAGTAAATTTTCGTCAAGCTTTGCCTAAGATCGTAGAAAGTTGGTTAGGCAATTTGTAGTAGAATCTTTCAGTGATATTTTTTCTCTGAGTGAGTAGCTAAGCCACGTATGGAGCTGATGATGAACTTAAAAACCATTAAATATACAGGAGTTTCCGTCTATAAGCTTTTAGACAGCAGCCGTAACAGATAATTATACAAGACATATCATCAAAAACTCCTGCTAGACAACCCTGTACTCACCATCTTTCCCATCACCGCAGTTAAGGTTCATTATAGCCTCGCGTTTATATATTGTTGACGGAATCGCTACCACGAAATTAAGGTGAAATTCAGCCTAAGAAACATCACCGTCCTGTAAACTAACTCCAATGAAGAGCTACACCATAAATCATTTACATTATTTACACACTGCATGACACTAACCAACTACACCTGACAACCGGAAAATAAACTCATATGACAACACTGTGTAATCATAGTCCTCAGAACACAACTAGGTACCAAAGACTGAGCTGTACATAAGAACATAAGAATGGAGGAAACTGCAGCGGGCCTATTGACCCATACTGGGCAGTCCCGTTTACACCCAACCCCTATTGCTCATTTGAGCATCCAACCTATGTTTGAAGCTATTCAGCGTATTCGAGTTAATGATGATATTTGGTAACTTGTTCCATTCATCCACTACTCTGTTTCCAAACCAGTGTTTACCTATTTCACGCCTAAATCTAAATTTGTCTAATTTAAAACCATTGTTACGAGTTCGCTCCTGGTTGGATAGTTTGAGTACCTTTGTAATGTTCCCTTTGTTTAGCCCTGCCTTCCACTTATACACCTCTATCAGGTCGCCCCTCGCTCTACGTCTCTCAAGGGAGTGCAAATTAAGATGCTTTAACCTGTCTC